TATTTTCCACATATTTAAATAAAACAATTACCACCGTGTTTAATTAAACAAAATCGTTCATAACAGAAATCTATATTTAAATAAAGAATTCTTTTCTCTGTCATTCATACAGTCAATTGTTAATTCGAAAAATGATAATTTGTCTAAAAAATAATTATATCTAATATAAAACGGCAAAATAGAAAAGATTAAAAATTTCTAAATCCAGTTGATGTTTCCAACCCTCATTATAGCAATTGACATACGGAAAAGAAAGTGACTGGAAAAAAAGCATTAGTCAAAAATATACATATGTATATATATATATATGTATATAGATAAACGAGATGTCCCCACGATCGATTTGAATTGTAATTTTGTAATCCCATTTAGCGGTAGGTACCTTTGCGCACGCACTTGCTCGCCCTTTTTGGGTTCACGCAGACGGGACGCGTATAATTAGGTATCGTTTATTTTACACCCGACGCGACGTGGGGTGAGGGGCCACATCATGTAATGCTTCTATTGGGGTCCCACAGATACCCATAGTGGTGGCACTCGCTCATAGAACGCTTCACTGGTAATGCGATGCGATCATCGACCCCCCACCCCTCTCTCATTCGTCCATTGATATTATACAACTCAAGAGGGGGTCTCACCCTTCTCAACACATTTCGCGCTAAACTTATTTTGCATTGCCCCTATTCCTGACTCTTTACCACTATCCATTCTATTAGAAAATATACGACAAATTTCTTTCTCAGTGCGGCTATATATATATATATTTATTATTGTCTCCTTTGACCCTCATTTAGGCAGTTTTGTATATATCATTAATGGTTGATAAAACAAAATACAATTTTATTGACGTGATGAATCAATATATGACTTTTTATATACACCCAATTGCATAAATGCTGTTCTTCTGGTTTGAAGACATTTTTAAAAGTCGTGACACTTCTATAATAATTTTAGTATAGTTTATGGTGTATGGTGTAACCAATTGCCTAAATGCTGTCCTTCCGGTTTGACAGCATTTTGAAAAAGTTGTTACACTTTTATAATAACTTTATTAGTTCGTGGCGTATAGTAAACAAAGGGGTGAATACTTTTTCTATAATTGTAAAATAACCTAATGACAATATGGACTAATTCGTCACAAACATCATTTGAACTAGTCTAAATTTGAATTTGTACGAATTGTATATATGTATTGGACGAAATTTAATAATCTCGAATTAGAATTTAATCGTATTATTAAAGCAATTATTGTAAATTTAGCCTAACTTTCAGTCATCTTAATTTTTATTTCCTCTAAAAGTTTCCCAACCCTGTCGGTTGTCATGGTAACATACAAGTGTAAAAGAGAAAAACAAATTCACTATCTCTTTTACTCTTGTACGTTATCATGACAATCGACAGGGTTGGGAAACTTGTACAGGAAACAAAAAATTAGGATAAGGTTGGTTTCCATCGTTCCCACTCGCCATTTCGTCAACTACCGCACCCTGATTTAGTGAAAATTTAGTGACTTTATTGTGAAAATTAAAAGTTACTATAAAGTTATTAAATTTTCACTAGAGCAGATTGCAATAGTTGACGAGAATTATAACGAATGACGAGTTATAAAAAGGACAAAAAAGTCTAGGCATATCTGACCACGAGTGAATAGAGTTGAGAAAAAACGACTAATCCTCATTTTAAAAAATACAAAAATTTGGACAATATTCTACAAGAGGGTAGACTTCTCGATCTATACAACATACGCACCTTTGTGCATCAGTCATAGATCAAATATATATATAGCATTATACAAAAGAGGGAGTGTTCGCATTATGTTTTGGAGACATTATATGGCACAACGATGTGTACACACTCTAGGGACGATATGGTATATATATATATATATTCGCGCGCGACACAGAATGTGCGGTGTTTGGTCTCCATTAATATCGGATCGAAACTGGATGGTTATACTGCCTGGCCAACCTCTTGTATCTCTTTTTATGGAGCCATATGTCTTCCGTACATATAACGTCCCCGTGCTGGGTCTGCTCATTTGTCAGCTCACAATCTGCCACTGATGCTGCAATTTGATGGCTGCAGTCAAAACACATCAAAGCCTGTATATAGTAGTACTTTACTTTTCTCTCTCTCTCTCTCTCTCTCTCTATATATATATATATATATATATATATATATATACCCCTCCTTCTATATAAATATATATGGCTTTAGTATTTTTTTTTATCTCGAAATATAAAACCTTCCAGTTTTACAAGACGGGTTTCAAGCAGGGGCCCGCACGCATATTCGGCCCTGGCGCAAGGAACGGGCGAAGCAGCGGGGATGCAAGAACTAATCTTTGACGCTGAGTTGTGTAAAAAACATGCTCTGACATTTTTCAACTTATCTCAAAAACGAAACAATATTTTTTAAGTCTTAAAAATTACTTTTAAAGCTAAGATCTTAAAGATTATGTTGTAGGAGTTACAAATTTTTCCTTGCATTTTCCTAGATTATGCAGGGAATCAAAAACTGGGTACGAAATTGGGAAAATTAGACGTTTTTTTTCGAAATCTTTCCAGTGTTATAATCGCTACAGAAAGTCGAAAAAAAATTCTAGGTATATATTCAGAAGCAGAATTTTATCAGCTTTCAGGTGATCTAAGTTTCAAGTCTATAGCTTTTCTCAAACTTAAAATATCTTAATTTAGGTGCGACATCAACATTTCATCCCGCGCACGTTAATCGTACCGACAATTTCCGACGGTAGTGTATATATATATTTTTTTTTAAATTATAATTTATTGTTTAATAATTAAACGAAAATTGTTCCTTTTAGTTAAAATATTATATTTTTAAGTAATAACTTTCGTCGCAATTAATAAATTTACGTATATAGAAGTTAAGTATAGAATTTTTATTTTAAAAACATTCCCTTTTAAAATATATGAGCAATTCCACGTTAGATTGAGGGGTCTATCCTCCGATTCCTTCTATACTATTTTTTTGGGTAGAGGTTATGGGTCTAATTGAGTAAAAAAAATATTTAAAGGAGAGTGGGGCAAAACCGGGTACCTTTTTGGAATTCTCGGTTTACAAAGAATCTATCAAATAAATTAGTTCAAATCTCGTTGAAAATTCTTCCTTGAACATTAGAGAATGAGAAAATAAGGTCAATTGCATGAAAAAAAAATTTTTGATCAATTTAAACCAGGTTTTTCAAAAAAATGCAAAGTGCCCGGTTTTGCCCCAATGGTGGGGCGAAACCGGGTACTATCAAGAAAATATATAAATCATTGAATATTCTTTAACTTTTTCACTGAAAGAAATGCTTTGGGGGGAACTGACAAATAAATATGGCTGGGGTTTTGTTTTGAACTGGCGATAAAATTAGGTTATGTTACCCACTTTGGAAAAAAAATTTAAATATGCATAGTGTAATGTATTTATATATATATTCGGTTTTGCCCCATCGTTTGGTACCCGGTTTTGCCCCGGACTGCATTTTTTAACAAAATGTAAATTTTTATATAGTGGTTATATAATTAAAATGATGTTGGTTGTAATATAAAAGATATATGTAATTAGGCGACACAAATGGAAATACCTACACTGTAAAAAGAAAGTACTAAATTAGTACCAATTTTAGGTATCAAACTAAAACCAAATGACAATTTAGTGCCTAAATTTGGTATTAAATTAATTCCTTTTGTTTTACAGTGTATCATGGAAAACTGGGGGTACCCCGTTTGACCCGCCTACCCGATTTTACCCCACTCTCCCGTATTATTTTTCGAGATATTTGCATTAAAAAATTAGAGCAACTTTTTTTTCAATTATTAATAACTTTTTCACTTTTAGTCAAAGCAAAAAGTTTCTTAAACGTTTTTTGCTCAGAAAATATTAAAGTTTAAGCTGAAAAAATTCATGAACATTCCTTAATATGAGCCAAAGACATGTGCCAAATTTGGCGAATACTCTATTTTTCGTTTTTGAGATAATAATTAATTAATTAACAAAAATTAATAAAAAATGAAATATTTTACGAACAAATAAAATTAGAATAATTTTAAGAACGCCATTTTAATGCTTATCAAAATCTGCATCCAACGAGCCCTTTATGAACTTAATGACTAAAAGTGAAAAAGTTATGAATAATTGAAAAAAAAGTTGCACTAATTTTTTAATGCAAATATCTCGAAAAATAATATATATTTAAAAAAAAATTTTTTTTACTCAATTAGACCCATAACCTCTACCCAAAAACGTAGTATAAGGAATTGGAGGATAGATCCCTTAATCTCACGTGGAATTGCTCATATATATTTTTTTTTCTTAAATTTTAAAGCAATTATGTATTGAAAACTATCGACAAACATAAACTTTGAACATGAAAAAGCAAACTGTAATCTCTTATTTTTAATATTTAAAAATTTTATTACAACTGCACATATATATTTTGATAACTGTCAAGCTCTCTAAATCTGAATTAGTAAAAATGTTTACTAATTTGAATTAGTGACTCACTTTTTGCTTCTGAATTAATAAAATTTTACTAATCATTAGTAACTTTTACTAACAATTAGTAAAATTTAACTAATTCTAAAACAAAAAGTGAGTTACTAATTTAAATTAGTAAACATTTTTACTAATTCAGATTTAGAGAGAGGATTTTCGGAATTAAAGTCTAGAAATTTTTTAAATTAATATAAAATTTAATTACCTAAATGAAAAATTAATTTAGATTAAAGCATCTTTCCAATTTTTATGGGCAAAAGATAATTTTCATATGAAAAAAGGAAGAAGTTTTTTTAATACTTTCAAATGAAAATTTTAAAAATTTATTATCAATTATTCTATAAAAAATTGTACTGTGTTATATGTAATGGAAATCATTCGAGATTATTTTGCAATGAAAAATAATATTTTTAATGCCGTTCTTTTTGTCGATAAAAAAATACATATAAATTATCACAAAAAAACTATAAAAACGTGCCTAGTATAAATAGCAGTGCAATTCAACTGTAGATTTACTCGTATACAAAATTCGTTGCAACTGTGAAAATAAATTTCTTAAACGACTCGTTTCTAGTTTTGTTTTATACTTTGTAAAATTATAAATACAAAAGTATATTTCAATATTCAACATGAAACTAACAATTTCTGCAATTTGTTTTATTTTGTGTGTTATTATTAATAATTATGAATTGGTTTCTGCTGGTAGACATCATTCTAGTTTAATAGGTAAGAAACAAGAAGCTGCGCAGGTAAAGTTTTGTTTGATTTCATAGATCGACAAAAAAAATAATTTTTTTAAGAGGAGGCACCACCCCCAATTTTTTTTCTTGCATAATTTGGGTCCTAAAAACATACAGGATGGTGAAAAAAAGAAAATTTTAATTTTTGACCATTTTAGAAATTGAAGTCTTAAAAAAATTAATATTTTCAATATCTATTTTTTTCACAATTTTGACTATTTTTCATCGCCAATTTTTTTCCACTCTTTTTTTAATGATTCTTAAGAATCTCTTGCATGGATTTTCAAAAATTTTAATTTTTTCAAAAAATAAAAATTCTAAAATGGTCAAAAATTAAAATTTTCTTTTTAATTTAATTTATGCGAGATACTGCTCAAGAAAATAAAAAAAAGAGTAATAGAGTTCACTTTTAACTTTTTTCCCACTTTTTTGGCAGCAAATAAGCAGTATCTTAAATTAAAAGGCAAATTTCATGATGACTTGTGTTCTTAATTAGTGATCAAATGGTAAAAATTTTTTTTTCTATAATCGTGCTCAAATTTAGGTAATTTGTAATTCTATTGAATGTCAATATTTTGTAAAAAAAAAACAATTTGTAAAAAAAATGTTAGTCTCTCCTCTAAAAAAAAAGTAAATTTTTTTTACTAATTTGGTCAATAGTTTTTTTTTCTTCAAAAAAATGCATTTTATTAATCGAAAGGGCATCAGAAAAGTTATCGAAATTAATATTGAAAGAATTTTTTTATTTCATTATTTACTTGAAAAAATAATAACAGTATAAGCGTGATAGAAAAGAAACCTTTTTTTTCATCTTGATCACTTCAAATATGAAATCCCTTATTATATAGTAATTAAGTATGTTCATATTGTAATCATTGAGATATATAAAATTATTAAAAAATTAAATATCCATTTATAAAACAAAAGGTAATTTTTTTTAGATAAATGCATAACTACTAAAAAAGAATCATTGTTATAAAAAAAAATTAAATATTATAAATGTAAAGGTGGATTTAGAAGATTTCAAACTTTAGAAGAAGCAGAAGGTAACTAAGGATCTTATTGAACTAATATTATACAATATAGTTATAATAGTAGATTACTAACATAAAAGTATAATTTTATTTCTTTCAAATTGCAGAGATATGTATTAAAGAGGGTGATGATGGTCAGTCTCATTGTTATGTATATAATCCTCTTCATGGTTTAAAAAACAAGGAAGATATTGTAGGTAAAGTCTGATTTGATTTTTAAGTACATAATGATATATTTATGAAAAATAAAAATATCGAGCAAGTGCAAGTTGCACTTAAATTTTCGGGTATTGTCACTATGATTCATTATGATTTTTGTAATCAGCGCATCAAAATACATAAAAGTACGTAGTATATAAAAGAGAACCAAAAATATTTAAAAATTTTTTTTTTAAATTCCGAAAATATTGAAAAAATTGTTTGCCCACGATCGGACTAGGCTTAAATTTTTCGTTACAGGGAAGTAGTTTTATTTTTTAATAATCAATCAGTATGTGAATTGAGAAAAATGACTTTTAGTCTTTAAAACTTAAAAATTTGTTAGTATGTATTGTAAATATTTAAATGTACAAAATTATTTAAAAATCAAATGTCCATTTATAAAATACAAATAAATTTTTTTAGCGGAATGTATATTGAAAAAACAACCATTGTTTTATATATGTTATGGAAGGTTTTATCAAAAATATCATACCATGATGGATGCAGAAGGTAACTAAGGATTTTATTAAAACCAATGTAATAAAATAATTAATAGTAGATTACTAAATAGAAGTAAAATTTTATTTCTTTCGAATTGCAGAGAAATGTATTAAAAAGGGGGATGATGGTCTTTACTACTGCAACTTTATGACACCGGAAGAGATTGATAAAGAGGAACGGGAGCTACACCTTTCTTAATTACGTAAGGGTCCTTAGGGGGAGGGGGGGTTTATAAAATCTCTACATGGTCTTACGTGGGGGGTCCGAAAAATCTTATGTATCCTTACATGGGGGTAGGGGGGGTCAAAATTAGCCAAAATCGTCCTTACGTAATTAATGAATGGCCCCTTAATGCTGGGAACCCGTGATTAAATTTAAAAACTGTATAAGTAAACTTTTTTAAAGAAATTACGATTTACATTATTCCAATTCCCATGTAAGTCATAAACAATTCGACTGAATGGCAAAATATCTTAACAATTTTTGACAAAAATATAGCTTCTATCCCTAAGGTACAAATATATGGCGTTTTTAGATACCTGACGTCCGGGTTAAAAAAAATTGACTATGATAATAAAACTAAAAAAAAAAATATATTTGTTATATCAATCTGAAAAAATGTTTGTTAATTGGAATTTAAATAAAAAGATTCAAAATGTAAGAATACAATAACTTTTTTCATACCTCGATAATCTTCCTGAATGAAAAATTATTTAATTTTCAAAAAAAATATTACTTTATACTTTTGATATAATTTTTTAATAAAATTATAATATAAAAAAATACATTTTTTTAAAAAATATAATGTTTTTATTATGGCGTCTAAAAAACTAATAAATAATAGATAAAAATGATAGAACTGTTTAAAAGTTCAAATAAAAGAAAAAACGTGAAAGAATTTATATGTTTGACAAAATAAGTTATATTATTCCAAACATTTTTAATTCAAATCATTCAAAGTTGCAATTTTACAATGGATGAATTGTTTCTACTTTGAATGTTTTTAAAAATCAATTTTTCTTGAAACTAAAAAAAATCAATTTCAAAAAATACTCAGAACTGTCATGATCTTTTTGATTGGATTTGAATTAAAATATGTTTGGAATGATATATAACTTATTTTGTCAAACATAAATTCTTACAAGGTTTTTTTTTTTATTGAACTTTTAAACAGTTCTACAATTTTTCTATATTATTTATTACTTTTTAGGACATCATACTAAAAGTATTCTATTTAAATTCTATTCTATTTATTAAAGAAAATAAATCATAATCTAATTTTACAACTATATCGTTAATGTTTATTATATATATATACTAGGGGGCTACGCCCCCTGAAGCCAACCCCTGCCCCCCTCTCTTCCTCTCCTTTGCCCCTCCCCTACCCCAAATTTAAAGGTTAAAATCGTTTCAAGACTCTGAATATAGCCGTAAGTTCCCCCCTCCCTTTTCTTCTACCCCCCTTCTCTTGACTTGCGGCTATATTCCGAGTCTTGGAACAGCGGCTTCGCGCCCCCATCCCCCCTCCTTTTCCCCTCCCTCACCCTAAATTTAAAGGTTAAGATCGTTTCAAGACTCTGAATATGGCCGCAAGTCCCCCCCTCCCTTCTCTTCTACCCCCCTTCTCTTGACTTGCGGCTATATTCAGAGTCTTGGAACAGCGGCGGCGGCGTTGGCGGCGATATCTTTTTGTAATATAGGTAGATATATATACCTCCTTCTATATAAATATATATGGCTTTAGTATTTTTTTTTATCTCGAAATATAAAACCTTCCAGTTATTCAGATGGCGGCCATATTAATGAAAAGAATTTAAATGAATCATATTATATCATTATCTTGTGAATACAGCTTAAACAGTTAATACACTTTCTAAAAATTAGTGGAAGATTGCCATATTGTCCCCACTCGACATTTTTGTCATAATTCTCGTCAACTACCGCACCCTGCTCTAGTGAAAATTTAGTGACTTTATAGTAACTTTTAATTCTAACTATAAAGTCACTACATTTTAACTAGAGCAGGGTGCGGTTGTTGACAAGAATTATGACAAATGGAGAGTAGAGACAATGGCAACAAGCCTAAGCAGAATAAAATCTCTAATCGTAAATCTTAAGCTTTAACATAAGAGAAAAGGATAGAAATATCTTTTGTCCTTTTCTCTCTCATGTAAAAGCTTAAGAATTTTCTTTCATATAAATTTTCATTTGTTCGAATTATTATTTGATATAATTTCCATATAACCGATTTTTCACACTACAGAATTTTTACTTAACCGAACAATCATTTAACAAAATTTCTAATTGATAGAATTTTTATTTGTCCGAAATTGCAAATGGACGAACAAACAATCGACAAAAAGATTTCGGCGCGATTTTTAAATCACAATTTTATGGATAATTTTTGATTGGTTGATTTTAAAAATCGCGCCAAAATCGATTGTTTGTTCGGCCATTTGGAATTTCGGACAAATGAAAATTCTATCAATTAGAAATTCTGTTAAATGATTTTTCGGTTAAGTAAAAATTCTGTAGCGTGAAAAATCGGTTAAGGCCTAAGCAGAATAGATTCTTGAACGAGAACACACAATCGTAAACGGAAACGTAAGAATGAGTAAGAGAAGGTTAGCAAATATCTTTATTCTTCTCTCACTCATTCTTATTTTTTCCGTTCACAATTGCCTTCCCTTTCAAGAATCTATTCTGCTTTGGCCTTTATATGAAAATTATATCAAATAATAATTCGAACAAATGAAAATTCATCTGATGAAAGAAAATTCTATTGAAATTCTACCCAATAAAAATTCTTTAAAATCCCTATAATGTTAAATGAAAATTCGAGAAAATAAAAATTCTGACAAATAAAAATTCTGTGAAGTTAATTTTCGGTTATATAAAAATTCTGCAATATAGAAAATCATTTTGATGAAAATTCTGCAAAGTAATAATTCGAACAAATAAAAATTCGGCTCAAAAATAATTATGTCAAATGAAATTCCATAAAATGAAAATTCTAACTAATGATTTTTAGAACATAATCATGCGTTCCTATTTGATTTATAACTGTTATGGACAGTAACTGAGAGCGTAGGCATATTATATAATTTGGATAACAAAATGAGTTAGAATATATAGAAAGAGAAGAGAAATAACGAATAGACATTATAATATACAAAATATATGCCATCTAAGGAGAACGTATATTTTGAAACTAATCTCTATTTATCATACAGAAGTCTGGATATTTTACCCGTTAAGTTATTATCTCATAAGCAATGAACCCATTGAAAAAAATTGAAAGACCCCTTTGGGGGCATTTAAATGGTTTTATGTCACCCACTGTGTTGACAGAGGGTAGAATAGGATGTACAGATAACCATACACATCTGTCATTCCTCTATTTGCTTTCTTATAAAAGAAATTATTAAACATATATTAGTATTTTATTAATAATTTTTAAGTATAAATATAATATGTTAATTATTTTTGGAGTTTTTAATATAAGAACCAACAGAGTCATTAATTACGAATTCAATGGCAGTTTTTATTTTTAAATCTGACATCAAAAATACCGAGTAATTCTGCTGCTGTTTCATTTCATGAATTATTGTAAATCAACTTTAATTCAGTGTTAATATAATGGAACTGTTCGAGACCCAGTGTTAAAAAATCTTCAATTGATTGAAGTTTTAATTAATAATTTTTTTTATTTAAATGAAATGTAATCTAATCTAATTCTAATTTAGAAAAAAAAATCATTTTGCCGAATTTAAGTGAGTTAGAATTTTTAAATATCAGAAATTCTATTACATCGAATTTTCATTTGCACGAATTATTAATTATTAGAACTCTTAAAATGTAAAAATATCAATTTACAGAATTTCCATTTGTGCGAACAATAATTAACAATAATTATTATAAATTTTTATGTATAATATGAGAAAATAAAAGAATTTTCTCATATAATATATTCATAATTCTTATTAATTTTTAATTTCAAATATTTTTTTTTAATTTAAAAGTATAAATATAAAAGGGAATTTTAAATTAAAAATATAAATCATTAAATAATTGATAATAACATTTTATTTATTTATACATATTGTAAAATGTAATGTTTAATATATATATTTTTTAAAAGGATTTTCCCAAATATCATTTTTAATACCTAAGAATCTGGATGTATTCTGCATATTTTATATTTATTATTAGCGCATAATAGTTAATACACTCTTCTGCAATTTAAAAATAAATAAAATTATAATTATTATAATATATCATTAGTAACTGTTAAATTTTATTTAAAAATATTTTAAATAGATTTTTTACTTGCTTAATGCATTTTACTTTTCCAGATGATAGATTTATTTAAAGTTTTACTGGTTTTGTTAAGTCATGATAAAGTTCTTTAAAAAAATTACGTCCCGAAACCGATTGAATTATAAGAGATACAAGTAATACAGTAACGGATTTAATTATTTTCATGATGGATTCAGATTAAATGTTTAAATATTAATTTTTTAAAAATATTAGTAAGATACCAGTTCTTTTCAGTTAAATGTTTGTAAATCTGGTTGAATTCCACTCGTATTTATACTAGAACCATTTTAATAGCTTTCTGATAATTTTTCTTTTCTTTTTATCAAGAAACAAAGCAGCTAATAAAATTATAATTTTTTCGTAATACATAGAGTATCAATAAAAATAGCTGAGGGGCTGATAATAAAAACGCGTTAAAATAAAAATGCGAGATTTTATAAAATTTATGTTTTGTCCTCAAAAACATTGAAAGTCATATATAAGTAACTGCTTTAAAATTTAAATGCAAAAATAAATATAATTTGAGAGATAATTAGCATGAGTCCAACTCCAAATATCAAAATTGTTCAGAAATCAATGAAAACCCTTTTTCTTCTTAACCTTAGAATTTTTATTAATTCCCCGCGTGAAAAAATTAATTTTCATTTTTTGTTAAATTATGTAAAACCTTGACAGTTATCAATAACAAATAACTGCAGTTGTAATAAAAATATTTAATAGTACGAATAAAAAATTACAACTTGTTCTTTTTTTTATTTTCAAAATTCATGTTTGTTGATATAATAACTTATAAAATTATACATAACTGCTTTAAAATTTAAATGAAAACATTTTTATTTTTTTCCATTTTAAAAAATTTCAAGGTTTTCAAAATTTAAAAAAAAATTCCTTTTAATAATTTATAGGTACAATTTTTTTGAATTTTTA